ATAATAATAATAATAATAACAACAACATCAATTTTCTTCTTCTGTGCAGAAACCAAGACACGGCACAGAATACCTGAGATGATCAAACCCTAACTATATATATAACATCACTAGTATTTGCAGAAATAGAGAATAACTTCAGTTGTTCAGTGAGATTTCAACATGTTTTCACACATTATTGAGCTTTTTTTATGCAACAGTGGCTCCAGATGAATCCTCCACTAATGATGTAAAAACTAACTTGTAAAACCTGAAACAGCACAAACTGACTTTGAACACATTTTCAAATTCTACAATGAAACAGCAGAAGAAAATAAATGTTTTTCTTACCTGTTACATACAGTTTAGTTCCAGAGCCAAAGATGTGGTAAAAGTTTCCTCTCACAGTGAAAAAGACTCGTACAAAAACCTGCTGCTGAATGTGTGAGCTGAGATGAACCAGACCAACCCACTGACACATTAAAATCAGCTCTACACACTGTAGCACAGCTTGTATTTCTTAAAGATGCTTTTAAATATGACAGTATACAAACATTAATAAATAATGACTAATGAAGTGATGGACTGTAGTTATCTGGACAGACGCTGTCTCAGCTTTGTTCTCATCCAGCACAGAATCTCTCCAATTAACTACAGCCCCATTTTCACACTTGGACATTCATAGCTACTTTGGTGATACAAATATGTAAAAATATCTGTGCTTACATACTTCTTCTTACTCCTTTTCAAATATGTAGACCTAGTCCAGAATTGTGGAATATTTCTTTTGTTACATGATTTCATTTAAAATGTATGTGTATGGATTTGTGCGTATATGTGTATATTTATAGATATGAAATATTAATTCTTTGTGTACTTGCTACTTGTCTTTACATATTCGAAATAAATATTTCAATCAATCAATCAATCAATCTGAAATAAAACTCGACTACATCTAGTCTTGACACAGCTGTACCATCAAGAAGCTACAATTCAGATTATTTTAACACAATGTTTAGAATTCAGCTGTGATATTAGATATTTACAGCAGTTAAGACCAGAATGATTAAAAACCACAATGGTCTTATGTTGCAGTGATTTCTGATTTCACCAACAGGTTTCTTCTTACAGACATGTAAGTGACAAAGTGACAAAATCCAATATATCAGGTGAGCTGTTGAATGGTTATGTCTTGTTTTAATGTTTTACTCAAAGTACCATGTTCTGATTTAATTACGCCCCATTCCACTATTGCAAATTTTTAATACAGTTTTTCAATAAACAGTTTTGTTTTATCATTTCAAATGCTTCTGGTACCTAGTACCAGTGCCAGAAGCATTATGCATAATACTTCTGGTATTCTACCATGTAAATAATATTTAAATTAATGGTCATCCATCTGAATTTTTTTTGTGGCAATATCTATTTTTTTGCACACATAGGAGTAAAAATAAAGTTGCGCATCAGCACTAAGGCAGTCCAAGATTTGTCTCTGATGATGGTATGAAGTGAAATTTTCTGCTAAAATCTGCTGAAAGGTGATAAATAGCAAGAGCTACTGGAAGAGTTTAATTTAGAGACATTAACAGTGTGAAGGACGGATTGACTTTATTCCAGTAGCAATTTAGAGCACAACTTTATGTCATTTTGACATTCAAACATTATTTTTACTGAATATGTTTGTGGTATTCAAGATTTTTAAATAGGTTCGTACTTTTAATCTTTTCTGTTCACTTGTTTTTTGTGTTGAAAGCAACTGAAATGTGTGATAAAATATGTGAACCTGGGCTGTGGTTTACTGCTCTCTTCATGTCACAAACACTGCTTGTTCATCTGGAGGTTTTTGTACAGGCTGCAGGCAGAATTTGTCACTGTGGAGATCTGACTTCCCACAGACGCAGCAGTAGATGGCTGAATGTTCGAGTTTAATGTTCTCTATCTTCAACTCACAGCCGTTCTGTTTATTCACAGCTGAGAAATCATCTTTCTGAGGATGATTGGAACGGAAAACTATGCTACCATCATTTCTATTAATCTCAAGAATCAGGCTTTCTCCTGTTTCATGCTTCTGCAGCCAGACGATGCCAGGACTAACACACTGATCAGTTTGTCGACAGCTGATGGAGGCTGTTTGACCGACTCTCCTGGTCAACGTTAAATCATCCTGAATCAGCTGTGCTGCCATGGCAACTCGCGCTACAGAGACACAGACAGGTAGATGAAGGTCAGTGTGACAGTGTTTGTTCCAGGTGGACTTTGTTGGCTCCTGATTGGCTGGAAACACTCACCTGAACACAGACAGCACAGAACAGCAGCTGGGAGGAAGATCATCTTGTCCAGCAGTTTTTCCTCTGGAGAACCTGAGCAGAAGTGGCGCTCTGATGCAGCTGAGGCCAAACAAGGACGAGCTGTGAGAGCAGAAGAGGCGTGTAGTTTCTAACAGGTCCTCAAAGCTCCCATCAGCCCCTGCGGCCCACAGATAAGGCTGCTGCTGCTGACTGACAGCTTAGCCCAAGCTCATGTTGTGTGCTTTCATGGTCTGGATTTAAACCTGATGGCAGATCCAAGAAATCTGGTCACATGATGTCTCTCTGCACTAGACTGGCGACCTGTCCAGGGTGTCCTCTGCCTTTGCCCTGAGTCGGCTGGGATAGATCCCCCCACAACAGTGTAAAGTCTGGTTTAGATGCACTGCATAATGTATATCTTAAACTGCCGCCTTTGCAAGTGTTTTTATTTGCACTGAAAACTATCAGTTTTTCAGACATCAGTGAATATGCTGCAATTCACGTATCAGTCTTCATCTTTCTGCTGCACAGGGCTTCTTCTCACCTCAAAGAGGCAGGAGGGATAATGTGAAACTTTTTTAGTTCTTCTGATAGATTTTGGCCTGTCCTGCTCAGGAATACTGCATACTAAACTCATCGGCCGGCCACACTATGGGAAGCTGCAGAGCAAAGTGTCAGATGTAACAGAGAGGGAACGCTCCTGTCTCTCTTGTTGTTCACAGTCCACAACTCTGACTTCAGATACTGATCACACCAACACTGCTCATTGCAGACTTCATGAGACTGCATGAGACCAAACTTCTGGGAGTGACAGTTGACAATAAATTATCATGGAAAAAAACACATTAATAATATGATTGCAAAGATTATTAGACTATTAAAACCTGGTCTACGGAGGCTGAAGATGCTCTGAGAGGGTGCTTTGAGGCCACAGACTGGAATGTCCTCTGTGAACCTCATGGAGACAACATCAACACCNGAAAGTGAACAGACTGATGTGCAGCTCTAAGTGCAGCAGAACATTGCATCTGTCCAAGCAGAGAGGCAGCAGCTGGTCTTACAGTGAGCTTGCTGCAGAGCTGGCGAGGCTGCTGGCTCTCTCTCTGGAGGACAGGAGGCTGGTGGAGCTGGAAGATCTGAAACAGAAAAGGAAGGAAATGTTTGGAGCTACAGTGAGAAATGTCATTCCTCTTTGACAGCATCTCCTCATGAAGCTGAATCAGTGGTGAACACAGTCAGCAAGCCTCCATCACCTTGTTGTGTCTGGGCCTCCACTGGTCCCCCCTCGTGCTGGACGTAGCAGCTGTATTTATATGTGCTGTCCTGTTGCTGATCGATCAGCAAGATGGCAGCACTGCGTCCTGGCTCTCTGAGCTCCAGCTGAGGGGGCAGCTCTTCTACCTGGCCGTCCTCCTTCTGTCTTTTCCAGGAGAAGCGGACCAGAGAAGGAAACATGGCGGAGGCCAGACACAGCAGGAAGCTCTTCCCCTCCAGGTGGGCTCTGGATGCTGCTGGGTACACACTCACCACAGGCTTCACTACCTGCTCATCTGGAGGTGGACAACAGCAGCAAGCAGCACAGACACACATTCACACAGTCAACAGCAGCTTCCAGTACTGAACTGCATGAAGTCTGAGCCTGGAAACTACATGGAATCTGACTAATATGCTGCTCAATCTTTTGCATTAAAATAACTGAATGATTTACCTTTACTTAAACAACTATGTTAAACGTTTACACAAAAAACTGACCAAACAACTGACCATAATAAGAACAAGAATCCGAAATGTTAAATATAAACAAAGAATGCACAATTATATCCGACAAAATATTATTGTCAGCAAAATTTCACACATAATATTAACAAAAAATATCATAGAATAATGTCATATAATTTCATGTGAGAATGTAATTTCTTACACATTTTCTGACAATTTTTTTTCCCACTGCATACATATTTTTCAAAAATATTTGTATATGTCTAGTTATGGTAAGCATCATATACATTTTACATTTACATTTGCCTTTAATATGTATTAAAATACACACATTTGTCAATTCAATGATTACAGAATATTTAACACAATAAATATTTATCAACAAATCATTAAAAAATCAATTCCTATGCAATTGTTTTTAAAATTACGAGTTAATACAATATATGTTAAGATTAGTGATTAAATCATGCTAATAGAAAATGTACCATTTAAATGTATTATGTGCCGTATCTGATGCATGACCTTACATACTCCAAATACTTTTCAAACTGTATTTTGAGTTTCTGTTGAAATAATAATAATAANTTGTTTGCTGCTGGCCTTTTCTCACCATCACATCTCATCAGTACATCTCCTTCATGTCTTTGATTAGGGAAAGGAAATATCTGCTGTGACGTGCTTGATTATAAAATACATCTCTTATTTCACATGTTTGATAATCATCCTACATGTGTAAATACATATATTCACATATATATTTCCTTTGGGGTTGTTTTGATCTGTTTTGATTTGGGTCTTTTGTGTCTTTATCAAATATTATGTAAAGTGCAACAGGTTGATTAATAAACACAATGACATTACAATGTCTGTGTTTAATAAACTGTCATTCATGGACATAGCAATTAATGACAAATGTCAGATTTGATGTGTTTTGTGGTGGTTAATGTGTAAAGTTAGATACAGCAGGAAAAAAGTGTGTTTAAACCTTTTAATTGTGACATCAATTGACCAAATCAGCTGAATTGTTTACTGCTTTGTGCATATCTCAGCATTTAACATCACAGGTCATTCTTCATGTTTTTCTTTTTAATATATACTCCCTGTGCTGTAGAGTTTTATTCAGTACAGCATTCTCAATAAAGTGAAAAACAACGTTGTCTATAGGTGTGGTATGTTGATCCCCAAAATGAATCTAATTGTAGTTTGAAGTTAATGACTCTTACACATACAAATATTGGAACACAGCTAAACAGACACATGAGCTCAGACATTTGAAATAAACATTAGCACAGAGATTTTTGATGTGAACAAATAAATGTGGATGAACGACCAGGTTCAGCTCTGTGTCCTCTGATCATTCACTTTCTGCAATAATCATCTTTGCAACTGTGTCAGTGTGGATGTAAAACTCTACGCTGACGACACTGTTGTTTACACACATGAATAAACAGCAGAGCGGAAACTTTAACGTCCATCTTTAATCGCATAAACCTGTAAATACTCCAAAATGTGAGCAAAACATGAGCTTCAAGTGGCGATTGGACTCAGTTTATATCTCTGTAGGTGGAGGTCTGAGTGGAAACAAAGCTGACAGAAAACAAGAAAGAACACAAACCACAGAGAAGGAGGCAGCTGATGAGTGTTTGCAGCAGCAGATATGAATCTGTTCTCAGGGTTTTCAGGCTGTTGACAGCCAATCAAACTACGTTTCCTGTGTGGGTTTCTGCTCTGCAATGCCGTTAGCTGTGGCTTTTCACTTTAATAACACAATGACAGTTATCAACACCCACTCTATCATTCCAGGAAGCATCTGTGCTCTTCATCTGTAAGAGAAACAGGTCAAATCCTCATCTCAGAGCTCACAAATAATTTGTGGTAGAGCAAATGAAAGAAGACCTGACTGACTTCTGGTAGAAAATTTGTTGGTGAAAGTAATCATAAAAAATTATCAAAAACACAGATTCAAGAGGCATTAAAATGGCAGAATTACATTTTAATAGTAATAACAACTGAAAACACAGACACAGATAACTCAATAACAAACTAATGCATACATCAACAGACACAAGCAATGAATATTATTCATTCTAATGAACAGAATTTTTGATATGGAATTGTTTTATATTTAAATATGAAAAATCCTAAACTGTGATGTTTTTAAAATTTTCCATTTTCTCATTAATAATGTCACAATTGAAACTGATTTACCTGGAAGAATTTTTGAGACTGGGAAAAATCAGCACATTATTTTGCCAGCACTCAAACTTCAGCTGTGACGGATGTAACTGCTGCTGTGTGATTGTTTTTAGTGGAGTTGTAGCTTCAAAGCATCTGTTTATTGTCAAAATAGAGTTTATGACAAAATAAAAATTAATCTACAAGCTGGAAGATCTACTTTCTTTTGTTGTCTTGTTGACTTATATTTGTGCCACCTTGTATTTTTCTTTGGATCTCAGACACAGACCAAGACCAAAATATCAAAACAACACTGTCCTGCAGAATTTACACTCCGAAACTGAAAACATATATGTCAATGTAAGTATTTACACTTATAGGATGACAAATAACATGATGTATTTTAGAACCAAGCACAATATATCACAGCTGACATTTCTTGTCACTGATCAAATCAATGAGATGTACTGATGAGATGTGATGGTGAGAAAAGGCCAGCAGCAAACAA